AACAAGTGCATCGCTAGTAGTAACAAGTGCATCGCTAGTAGTAACAAGTGCCTTACTGGTAGTAACAAGAAGCTATTAGGAACAAGTGCATCGCTAGTAGTAACAAGTGCATCGCTAGTAGTAACAAGTGCCTTACTGGTAGTAACAAGAAGCAATATAAGTAAGTCTTTGTACTCATAGCAATGGCCTCCACCCTAATAGAGATGGCCTCCACCCTTGTAGCGATGGCCTCCACCCTTGTAGCGATGGCCTACCCTAGTAGCGATGGGGACAATATAAGTACATCTTTTTACTTGCAGAAGTTGGGTGATGAAGCAACTTTGGTGGTGGCAAAATGTATCAAACTCCTCTATTGGTCTGACAAGCACTGAAATGAGGGCGAATTCGTTTTTGTATTGCACATCACCAACCAACCAGCTAACCAACTCTGCGAAAAGCTACAGTTTGATGCGACTCAGGGAACCCTATAGCCGCGTAGCCGACCTTCTCAGGTGCCAAGAAGGCGCCGTGGACTGCCACCAGCCCAGTGAGAAGCGCCACACACGCCTGGCTGGCTGGTGCAGGAATTGGTTGGATGGAATCAATGATTGTTTTGCATACACACATATGTTTAAAATGTGTGCTCCACGACAAGGGTAATTGTATATACAGTATATATTATATACATTATAGATAGACAAATAAATATAGATATTATGAAATGACATATTCCTGGTACGAGTACGAGTATACAATTACTCAGTTTGATTGCCATGTCCTAGCTGTTCGAGAGGCCTTGCATAGCATTTCTTCATCTAACAAACACAAATTCTGGACGGCACCTGATTCTTCGTTCATTGGCTCAACAAGTTTTCACGACCCAAACTCGGTGCCCGGGACAGCGGGCCTTCATGTTGGATCAAGCCGACCAGCACTTCATTTGGCCATGGCCCCGTGGTCGGGGCAACTGAACCATCCATGGTTGCGCCAGAAAATATGTCGATTGTCGGAGCGGCTGATGCTGCTACAGGATTCTCTTCAAACACCCTGGGTTACATCACCACTCAGTATCAGGATCTTGGGGGAGAACACTGACGGGATTCTATAGTTTCTATGGGGCCAAAGACCCGACCTTGACTTGTTCTTTGGCTATTCCAGGCCCACGAATTCACCTCTTTTCATTGAAACAAACTACCATGATGGCAAAATACAGAAGCGACCATACAGTAGCAGCTCTTCTTGGGTTTGTGGGGTTTGAACATCCATTTGGTGTCCCTCCTTGCACCGCTGCACCACAGGCAGACGTTCTTTTGCCCTCCTTTTTCGCGCGCAGACCTCATGAGGGATGTCCTTACTGGCGGATCTTCACGGGCCTGCGGGGTGGGTTTGAGAGTCAAATGGACTCTCTGGACAGCTGAAGGCTGAAGTGACTTAGCAGTATTCAGAATATAACTTGGGTTGCTGCTCCCGCCAACGACAGATGAAAGGCATCGCCAACCAAAGTGTTCATGAATCAAGCAAAGGGTTACTGTTGCTTAATAGGCCAGTCATCAAGTCTGAAAGTCCAGCACAAGAGTACAATAGATCCTCTTTGTTATAGTCGGGCAACTTCTGGGCTTGTTGGCAGGGAAGTCTGCCAGTCTTGCAGCGGTGGACCTTGAGGGCGTCCCTGGAAACCACTGATACAGTGATGTCTGAATCAAAGCTCCACTAAGGGCGGTGTAACATATGGGATGGGGAAGGCGGACACGGCTGTCCAGTCCTCTAAAATCTTTACAACGAAACACATTGGCTCACTGATCTCACTGTCCTCGATTTGTCTGGAAGTCAAAGCCAAATTGAGATTGGTCATGCCTTCAACTGAAGTCCATGTTGCTGAAATGAACTCGGAATGACCATTTCAGGAGATTGTGTCTGGAGGAGATTGTCAAGAATAAAATTGCTACTGTAGTGCCACTCGACCAACCATGTTCACATGCCTAGCAGAGCTTGTTGATCTTAATGTACAAGCATGGGCCTTATATTCACCCTCTCATCCGACCCAAGTTCAGGAATCACTGCTTGCACATCACTCCTGCTACATCATCTGGTGCCCTTTATCCTCCCAGCATCACAGCGGACATCCTGTCCTTCTGGGCAAGCCATGCCGTGACATCACCCTTCGCCCTCGGATTTCGGTTGAGCTCAAGGAAACGGGCCAAGAAATGGACAAGGAGTCAAGGAGGGAACAATGAGAATCCATCTGCTTGGAACTGTTGGCAAAAGATACAAACCGTCCTTGCTGGCAACCGTCCGATGGTAGGTGGCTGCACGTTTGTTCATCGAACGGCCGGCCCATGACAAGTTCTTCTTCCTCCCCCTTTGCTTTAGCATCCAATATTCTGACAGCATTTTCTTCTTCTTCCTCCCCCCTCTGCTTTAGCATCCAAATCAAAGGTGAATAAGAAAACTGAGAGCATCTTCATCTTCTTCCTCCCTCTCTTCTTTAGGATCAAACTCAAAACCATTAGCGTCATCTTCTTCCTCCCCCTCTTTTTCTGTCAAAATCAAAATCATTAGCGTCATCTTCTTCCTCCCCCTCTTCTTTAGTATCAAAAGCAAAATAATACGCGTCATCTTCTTCCTCCCCCTC